GATATCCACACCCACACCAGCATCGTGAACAACGTACATTCCCCGCGTAGTGCCGCAACCGGAAGGCGTCGTGGGGCAGGGACTTGTCCGACTGGTTCTTCTTGCACTTGCGACTCTCGTAGTGCGGGTGTTTGGCGCAGCGCTCGTCCAGTTTCTCCAGGAAGGTCTGGTCAGACGTGTTCCCCGGCCGCAGACACTCCTCGTCCAGTAGGGCAAGGATGCCCAAGTTGTTCTGGGAATTGTCAATAGTCATGGGGAATTCTATAACTGATAATGACAATGACAATAATAATGACAATCTTTATTCATCTCACAGGGAGAAATTCGTCTCGGTCGTTTACAACGGCAGTAGATGTTACAAAGCTTAGGTGCACTCACGCATACGCACAAGACAGGACATTAGTAAATACACGTCTCATGTGCTGAAACATACGCTTCGTAAAACTCTCTCTCTCTCTCTCTCTCTCTCTGTTTCATTTGTAGCACTGTGTGTTCAGTAACCTCACGGCAGTTGGTATGAATGAATTTCTATATCTGTCTGTTCTTGCTCTTTTCGAAATGTATCATTTGCTGCAGGTTGATAATTGAAATTCTGATGTCAGTGGGAGGCTACGGCCACTTATCATTATTTCTGCCTGTTTTTAAATGTTTGTTGTGTGCAGATATTCAAAGTCACTTGGCCTTTCTGATCAACTTGTTTATTTTTATGATGTGCTGTCTTCCCAAATTGCTACCATAGCAAGAGATACCAAAATTTATCAAAGTCTCTATTGTGGTAGTGTAGAATATCTGAAAGATGGATGGATTCATACAGTAAGATCTAAGTTTCCTCAGAAAGTACAGCCTCTGATTTACCTTTTTAACCATATTGTTTACGTGATATGTAATACGGGGTGCCCATTACGGATGGGATAGGGTCAGGTCAGGGCCGATCGCCCCACTCGTCGCCTGAAAACAAATGCGTTTGTTTTTGAGGCGACAAGTCAGGCGTGATCGGCTTGTGCCACCATAGCCTCTTTGCGCCCCCAATCTGGCTAACAAACCGCCCCGACCAGACCCGATCCCACAATGGGCACCCCGTATTAGCTGTCATCGTGAACTGAAACTGAAAACTGAAACTGAATATTGTATCTGTAGGTTGTAATTATTGTAATTGTAAACTGCTTTTGTAGACTGTGATAGTACTTGTAAATTGTATTTGTAAATTATAACGGTTGTTGTAAACTAATTGTCATTGTAAATCATAATTGTAGTAGTAAACTGTAATTGGTATTGTTTATTATCCATGTACTTGTAAATTAGTAATCATAATTGTAAATTGTAATAAAAATTGTAAGCTGCAGCTACTAGATAAAAATTCACCTGACTTGGGAAATGAACTCGGGTCTCCTGTTTGCAACAGCGAAGGACCTAACCGCTAAACCACAGACACTGGTATATCTCACTCACCTTCTCTATCAGGTCACAAATCACAGAGTTGTTAAAGTAATCCACGTGAATCCACTCGATGCCCTGCAAATCGCAAACAATAAAAACAACAAAAAGGAAACTGATTACAAATTTGAGCAGGAAAATCCAGTTGGAGGAATGAACTCATAACCAATAAAAACCATCAACTTCGCAATAGACGTATCCAAAAATAACATACATCTTAAAAACGTAAAAGAAATTCAGCAAATTTTCACACTATATTTAGTTTTCTTTCAATAGAAAATAGATAGATAAAATATTGATAGACTGATCGATAAATTGATAGATGATATCCCATTCTATTCACTTTACCTCTTTCCTCCTTATTGGAGTACTAGATTGGTTTTTTAAAAAACAAAACAAGAAAGCCAGACAGAAATCCTCCTATAGTACAAGATAGTATGTACCCATCCAGAACAC